TCAATACCTATTTGCTGTCAAAACGAATGAATGAATCGTAGATGGATTGGTTGTCCTACTGGAACACTCGAAAGTTGGAACATCAGTATGCCAGTGCATAAAACTTGTGAAGACAATGAAAAATTATAACAGAATAGGGGTAAAAATCAAAGAAGCTTGAAAAAACTCGTGAAAAAAATTTTGTATAATTTATAAGAAACAATAATCATTACAAAAACGGATGAAATGGAAACATACCACCACTCGAACTGTTCGAATTCCGCGTCGGATAAGCCGCTGTCCTGCAGCAACACCGGTTGTTTGGCCAGCAATATTCGTCTTTTTTCGCGCATTTTTGAATCCTTCCAAACGACATGATGTGTAGGTGATTATTTTGTACTGTAATTGAACGATTTTTACAAAAAAAAAAAAAACATTTGCCAAAGCAAACAAACCGAAAAGGAGTCCAAATTTGTCCATCCGTTTTTGCTTACATGGATCTGGATATGTAGGTTCTCTTTGATACTTTTTTTTTTTTCGTAATAAATCGATGAGGAGGTTTGAGGCTCCACGTAGTACAAAAGCACAAAAATGTTATTATCACAGAAAGCGTGTTATTATTTCTGCTGTATTATTTCATTTTCTACAGAATGGCAATCGGTTTGACACAACATGCTATATATGCAGTAGTAGCAGTTTACCATCGAAACGAATCAAGAAATAAGTTGGTTTTTATCGGTGAGCTCAAATCGTTGATTTTTCACTGATAGGCTTGAATCACTCTTTCCCGGCAAGGCGCCTCATCTGGACTAGAAGTGGTAACGTTTGGGACGAATTTTGGCTCAAAACACTCCGAAACGACTAAAGCCCTGACAAGTGCTACTGTTTGGGGAATCAGAGAGCTGGTAAATCCTCAAAACGGCGAGACGAACGTCAGGTTCAACGGAATGTTAAAGCTGGAAAAGTAGCAAGCTGGACCGAAACGTCTTATCTCACTCTTGCCTTCTCTCCTACACTACTCTTTCTTCCTGAATTTTCATCGCACCTTCGCCATTTGCGTTTCCCGGGTTAAGCTGGATGTTGCAATCTGTTACACAGAAATGGCAAATCGGACTTACCCTATGATCTGTGACAGTAATTAGCGTATTGTTCCGCGATGCTTTGATATGAACAATTGGAAGCTCCTCGAACGGTATCCCATCAAACTGTTGCTTGAATATCTCCACGGTCGGTAAACGCTTCTCAAAATGTGACAAATTCACCGGAACCCAGCTTGCGCCACCAACCGTCCCTTCGGCCTGCGGATGCTCCATTTCCTTCTTATCAATACCTGTAAAGCACCAGAAATAAACCAAAAACAAGCAGTAAGCAGTGAGAATACAATTATACTGTTACTTCACAGTGCACAAAAAAGCAATTTAGCCCTTCCCACATGATTTTAGCACTTCTTAACACAACTCATTTGAATTTAATCTGTACCAATTACAGCTATTACGACTGCCTTACTGACGAAGTCTGTTTGTGGTAATGGTAAGAAATGTATACGACTTGATGGGACCGAAAAATTTCTTATCATTATAATAATTTTATTAAAATAACTTCACTACTTTTACTAATT